AGTGTAAATATGAAGGATCGCATTTAACGTTACAAAAGGAAGATGTAAACATAATTTCAGGGTATTCTTGGAAAAGAACTTGCCTAAAGTATTGGATAATAATAAAAAATTTTCTTTCTAGAATAAGCTGTTTTGTTCAAAAGATATTTATTGTTGTTGTTTTGACTTTAATTCTTACTTATTCTTCAACATTCCAGTATCCTTTCAGACTTTGATGTGAATTATAGTAATTTCTATACTATTAAAAATTTAAAAAAATAACTAAATAATAATGAAAACAGCCGCTATTTATGATCCCATGTTATTTGGGCAATATTAATAAATAACACTTCATATCTGGATACTGTTCATTTTTTTTTTATTATCACTCAGAGACCTCATTACTCTTAATCTAAAGGACTGCTAAGATAATGTTTGATAAAATAGTATATCTTCAAATGTCGCTTTAGTTTCATTACTTTGGCACTTTACTCAGCATTAATACAACAGGGTAATGGTACCTAATTTTTTTATAATGAAGAAAATATTACTTGTGTATTTGGTTCATCAAAAACATCAATAATTATATATATATATATATATTATTTCCTTCTACAGTAGTATAACATCACACGGACTATAATTATAGTGATTTAGGAAAACACACGCAATAATTATTATATTAGAAAATTCGTGTTAAATAAAATTTTCCCAACTTGTTATTAAACTTTATTGAATTTGGTTAATAAGAAAGTTATTATTATTATATCACCTTGAAACGAATTATAAATAATTCATAATAAGATTTTTATTTATTTATTTTTATTGAAATAATATTAATATAATATGTCACAATCAACAGAATTGGGTATCATAGCTCTATTTACATTCATACCATATATGGTCGTAAAACTCTATAATTTTGTTGTAGTCAGGTAAATAGAAAACCCTACAAATTATGGTTTGTCATAATCTACTATGAAATATCCAAATAGTTATTTTTACTAAATTTTAAAGGTTATTTAGTTAGATTTTTTTTTTAAATGGCATTGTTTAACCTTTGGTGTAATGGTGTCTCCAAAATTATATTTTTCCTAGTATAATTTTATTTTATGTAGGTGTCATAGGTTATTTCAGTGGTCTGTTCAAAAACCCATTAGGACATCAATACTGTTTTCGTTTTCAATTCTTCATTGGATTACGACAATGCTTTATTTTTATATTTTTCTCTACCGTATTAAATGGCCGAGATATAAATGGTCAGCAAGTCAGTGCTCATCCACTGAGCTACCCCGCTCCCTTATCAGGCATATACCCATCTTAATTTCTTAATATCAGCTTTGTACGACTTTTCGTTTTTGAACTAGCCTGTTCACATAAAACACAGACCATTTGGCGGGACTTGGTTATTTGAACTCAAGAACCCTCAAAACTTTTATTTCTGTTGAAAACTCGGATTCGAAAATTTTCACGATCACAATACTTTCCCTTACTATATGTTACATATATTGGTAAGTGAAAGTGAAAAATCATATATGGCAATGTAGAGTATTTAGGTTGATTGTTGTCCAACTTAAAAAGTAATCTGGCGGGTTCTACATATTTTAAACCGAAAACCTCAAATTTCGAGGTATTGCTAAACATTTTTTTCCTGGTCCATTGCAAAACTTCATCAATAAAAACAGCAAACACAAATCTAAATTTAAAAGACCTTGTGATAAGCGGGGAGAGGTAGTAATAAAAGTTTCAGATCACTTGCTATTTGTATTATCTGAGGCAAAAGGAAGATCATGAACATTTTTCTGACGAAAAAATATCTATAAAATATAAATAAATCCTTTTTTGGAATTTCAAGCACTGCTCGAACTAAGAATTATTGTATGATATAGCCTTTTAATCGTGATCGTAATCATCCTATATTTCTTAAAAAATATTTACTAATACATACATGTATTACAATATGACATTGAAATATTACGTGTACACATTTTTAAAAATTTTTTAGCCAGGGTGGCATGGGTAAGATTGAGAGAGTCGTCATATTAGACAAACTAAAAGGATTAGTAATGTATATATTGGAGTACTGGCACTGGCAAGATTCTTCACTCATGTCCTGAGCGTCTGTTGCTCTAGTGCCTTCCATCAGCCTCCACTGGCTTAGTATACCGGTGACGCGGCTGGGAGAGAAACACTGGGATCTCCTGGAGTCCTGCTTTGGCTTCCACAGTTGGGGGACAAAGCTTGATTCGGAGTCCCCTGGGCCAATTTAAATATTGGACATATGTGTGAATGTGTCTTGAGAATGTGTCTGTGAATGTGGCTGATCTGTTGTTTTAATTATCTTGTATATTACTTTATCTTTATATATATATATATATATATATATATATATATATATATATATATATATATATATATATATATATATATATATATACTTTTTTTTTCCTTTCTTATGTACATATTGTGTGAATGAATACTATAGCCCTTGTACCAATGCCCTTCAGTGTGGCAGAGTATTAATACTCAATAAATGTTAAAAAAAAAAAAGGAATAGCGAGGAAGGTTCAATCTAATTTGAAGCGATAGTAGTGACCATTACATTAGTCAAAACTGTGATGAGACTGATGAGATCTAGATGTCTTACTTTTTTGTTTTTTTAATCAAGAATCAACCTTAGATTCTTCTGATTTTTAATATTGTCTGTAGATAGTTATACACAGGTTTATGTTTTCTAGAAGAATATATTTTTAGCTTTTTGTCTCTCTTACATTTGGGAGCTTCGAAACCTCTAATAAGGTAACCTTGTGTAAACTAACAGTGTCCAATCCTGAGGCGGCACATCATAATTTCTACTCTCCTTGAACTTGGAGTTAACCATTTACCGCAGTTAGGTTGCACTTTTGTCAGTTTATACTCTTTGGTTTTCCATTTTGTTAGAAGTAATTTCATTCATTGAGTGGTGTACTCAGTCTTCTAAGGTAGCCTCTTTCAATCTAGTCCCGCCCGTTTCTTTACCACTTCTGGCTAAACGGGATGCATGGTCAGCTTTTTCATTTTTCGAAATTCCACAGTGTGCTGGTGCCCAAACAAACATTACCCTTATTTTTTATCTCCCACGTTTAGTACTTCACTTATTATGGGACTTCTTGGCTATGGATAGCCAATGGCAGCTAGAACACTTCCCGCTACCTAGTACTTATACATAGTTAAATGTCCAATTTACCATAAAATCGCCTTTCTTTTAGCTAACCGACATACTAACAAAATTATATAGGATGTCTCAGTTCTTAATTGCCAAACTCTGGAGGGTGATTTTAGAAAAAAATTCCAACAAAAAAGTTCATTTGATGCATGGGCTTATTCCAAACGGAAATGGAGTTAAGAGCAACTTTTTATTTACTTTTTTAAAAAAGTTGTTTATTAAATAAGGAAGAATTGCTCAAAAACAGTTCAAAGTAATTTAAATCACACCATGGTAAAGCAAATAAAATTTTGTTGAGAAAACAGTGATTAAATTAGCTAAGGTCAGGGATAAAAGGGACTTTCAGAAGGTCAAATACTGGCGCTGCACTGCTGCAGTTTTAGTCTGGATTCCCGAGCAGTATATCTCTGTAATCCCAATTAATGAAATAATTCGGCATAATGGTAGGCTTTGTTTTATTAGACTTCATAAAAGTCTCTCTTATCATTTACCTTAAACAGTAAATTTAATCACTGTTTTCTTAAATAAAATTGTATCTTCTTTACGATGGTGTTCATAAAATTTAATTATATTAACAATTTTTAAACGATCCCTTCTTATTCAATAAAAAACACGGACTACATTAAGGAAAACACTAAATTTTCAATAATCAACCATTGTGATCGACCAAAAAATTCAAAAACTTAACCCCCTCTCAAAATTTGAGGTTTCACGTTTCAGGATGCGTAGAATTCGAAAAACGAATAAATTTTTTTTGTCCGTCCGCCGTCCGCGCATTTTCTCCGAAACAACTGGACCGATTTTTTTTTCTTCAAATTTTGATATAAAATCAGAGGTCACCCGAGGATGATCCTCCTTCATCGGCATTAGTATCCGCCTTTTACTTTCAAAATGGCGGCCGAAAAACCTGCGTTGCTGTAGACTGTAGCTCCTGAACGAATGTACAGATTTTAATGAAACTTCGCTAAAGTCATTTTCTCGATGCCCTTTAAATTTATCTATACAACATACTTCAACGAAAAAAAAGCTAGAAAAAAAGTTACGAGGGATTGTAAAATCAAATTCCGAATAACTTAAAAAGTGTACACTTGTTTGTAGATATATGTTTTTTTAAAAGTTTACAAAATTTCCTAAAAAAAAAAAAAAATCGAACAATTAGGAGCAAAGATATGGTCTCCGATTTTTTTATATGTTCTACTCCAAATTTTATGTCCTTGGTTTGGTTTTTAAATTTTGAATGTGTTACTGAAGTAATGCTTTTTTTTTTTGCATATTACTAATGATTAAAAAAAAAGTGTTCATAAAAGTGTTTATTCCAATAATTGGAATCACCTTTTGTTTATTTTTCTTTGTAACTCGGAAGGTAATGTTACTTTAGATGTATAATTGTTTGGAAATAATAAACTATTGCGAAATAATTTGCAGCGTTTTTCGTTCGGAATCGGCTCTTGCATCAAAATTCGGGTTTTCATTTACAAGTTGTGCGGCATAAGTTTACACTCGGGCTGGTTATTGAAAAACGATATACGAGTTGTAGATATACATTTTCGTAGAATTTCTCCGATCTATACTAATCAAAAGGCGGAATTTGTTAGAGATGTCTATTACGAAATTTTAATGACTACTTTTAGTAATTTACAAAAGAAGTACGATTTAAGACCAAAAGTTAACAAAAAATTAAGGAAGTTAAATTTTAATGAATTTGCAATCATGCTTCTCTGAAAGTTACAGAACTTCACCTACTGGGTTGGATTAACAATATCATAAACCTGTTAATTTTAAGTAAATCAGAACTGAATTATTTACTGTTTTCTAGATGACAGTCTTCGAGAGCGAACAAATAATTGGTGACTCTGTTATCATGAACCTCCAGCAGAAATGCATGGACAATCATTTGGTTAACCGAAAATATAAAAATGGAGGGTGCCTGTTGCCGGACAGATTTCAATTGTTCGAAGAACAGATCTACAATATGGAAGTCAGGCCCGATGACGTTTGGGTGATAACTTTTCCAAAGTGTGGTAAGTAAACTGAAAATTCGAAAGTAGTACAAAACCATATGTGCTTGTTTTAGGTGAACATATTCTAATATTATAAAATAAGGCTCTGTTTATTTTTTCACCATATTTATTTTAATTTTCATAGCTACGTTTCGGCCGGTAAGCCATCATCAAGCCATTTTATCCAACCATGGTTTTTGCATATAGTCCTTGTGGAGAATATGGGGAAAAAGTAAACATATTCTTATTTTATAAAGTAGTACAAACCAATATTTGGGCTATTTGTCTGGCGCTCTCGCTCAATCTCCACTGGGCTTAGCCACAGTGACGCGGTTGAGAGATTAGTGTAAGAATCTCGTGGAGTTCTGTTTATCCCTCCACAGTTGGAAGAACAAGTCTGGCTCGGAGTTCCCTAACCTGATTATAAATAGTGTATGTATGTATGTATGTGTTTTTCTATTAATTTACGAATCTTTAATTTATTTTATTTGTATTTATTGTTTGTCCTTTTTGATTATTATTTATTGATTATTATTATTTTTCTTTTGTTTATTCTATATTTTTATCATCATGTTGTGTGAATGTGGTCTTGCCTCACCAAAATTATTTTCAAACAGACAGAATGTTATATTACTCAATAAAAAAAAAATATTTTTGTACATAAACATTTTCTGATTATTAAGGTTGATATTTTTTGCTATTATGTTTCGTAGGAGAACAAAATCAAGGCTGCAAAGGTAATTTTTCTTAAAAAGATTTCAGGAAAAAAGGAAATACGAGGGTCAGGGTGATGTAGGAAGGCACCCGGCAATCTGATATAAGATATATTGAATAAAAAGTAGTCATGAGTTCGCATCCCGGTGCCAAGGCGTTTTTTAAATCCCCGCCCAAACCCCCTGGCCGGGAAAACCCCGTATAGCCTTAACGGCGAGGAAGGGTAGGATCCAAAATAAAAAAAAAATATAAAAAAAAAAAAAAGGTCTTAGAGAATGGTGTCGTCATGAAGGAAGACCGCAGTAGCCTGGAGTACATCAAGTACTAGTCCAGAAGTGGTACATTACAATCATACCTTACAAGTCAGGAACCTACTCAGGATTATGGAAGAACTATTGATCTTGCTAAACAATCCCCTATTCATTATTATCCAATAAACTTGTAATATATACATATATATATATATATATATATAGGGGCTGGGGTAGCCTTGCGCTTACAATAGGTAATCAAACTTAAGCAACACCGTGGCTAGCACTTGGATGGGTGACCGTCTACCAAGGAAAGCCACGCTGCACGAGATTCCTCCCCCTCCCCCCAAGTATGTGAGGACCGTCAGGCTGCTGGAGGCAACTCACACCGACCGGACGTAGAATTAATGAACCTACCCCATACTTTAAATTGAGAATCGGGATGTGGTCTAGGAGACCACACTCACGGTCAAATATCTTCGTGGTCTGTATCGCCAACCACAATGTATATATATATATATATATATATATATATATATATATATATATATATATATATATATATATTATATATAATATATATATATATATATATATGTTCTGATAAAGGAAAAACAATTATCAAACAAATGTTTCAATTATGAATTGAATAATCGATTTAAGTTATTGCTTGTTGATCAGGAGTATTGTCAGACAAATTACCACACTGAATAAATAAGTAAGTAGATTATACCTTTAATCGCAAACTTATTTGATTTGTATTAATAGTCAATTTTTTATTATTTTTACAGGCACTACATGGACTCAGGAAATGGTGTGGCTGTTGGGAAACAATTTTGATTTTGACGAAGCAAGGAAAATAAATATAGATGAACGATTCGTGTTTCTCGAGTAAGTGACAACTGTTAGTGAATAGATTTATAAAAATTAATTCGATTTTGATTGATATCGGCTCTCTGTTTCAAAAGTAGACCTTAAGAATAGAAATAATTTCATATTTACCATGGTCCGATTTTCGGCTAAAGTGTGATATTCAAGTTTTGTGTTTTTTATGTGATCTATGTTTTTAGTTGAACAGAAAGCAATAACTAAAAAAAAAATACGTCTTTAACTTATGAAAAATTGCTTCACAGTACACTATACACAATTTGCTATAAATGAAACTAGAGTGTTAAATGGTGACAAAGTGAAATTCCTAAAACCATTTAAAGATATGTTTGGAGATAATTTACTAAGCTAAATAGGTTTTACCAATAAGAAATACAATTTTCATTTAAAATAAATATTTTCTAGCATACTATGAATGATTTTTACGTAAATCATTAAGTAATTGTTATTTTTTTTTATTTATTTATAAATGTTTTGGGATCTTCAACCACGTGGGTCATTTTCGCCCTATATAGCAATTGGATTAACTACTATATAGGCATACATAACAAAACTACAGTTAAAAAATACAATTTAAAGTTTAGAAAGTTAAAAATAGTTACAGATGAATGTGATAGAGCGATTGAATTAAAATTATAAAAATTAAATGTTAAAGGTTAAAAGGAGATAAGTTAACAAAGACAATTAAAATAAAAGTTAATGATTTACAGATGAAAAGCTAAAAATACGTTTTTAAAAAATAAAAATTAATATCAAAAGAAGAAAAGTTGTAGAGTACAGTTTGAATATTAGAAAGTACAAGAAGAATAGTTGACAAAAACCGTTGAAATTAAACATTAAAATATCTGATGGGTCCACTCACACGACTTTCCTACCTATTTCAGAAACGTTTTTATATCTTTACATATGTTTATGAAGAAACAAAAAAAAATTTGAACTTTATTTATTTCTTAAAATTGATCAAAGAAAAGATTTGAGTACGATTTATTTGATAAACTAAAGCAATGTAACCCGGCTTAAGGTAGATCAGTGTAAAAATTTCAATACTCTCTAATATTGCTGATCAAAAACTTTTTGCTATAGCTTAGTATTGTCAAACAATAATTTCTGTTAATAGTAGAGGAAATAGTGTAGATTGTTTGATGCTGGAAACAGATTTTCTTACTTTCACTTTGTCATCTTTTTTCTCTCATTCACCTCTTTTTGACAGACACCAGGATATGAATCCGTAATCTTAAATTCGAAATTGAATAGCTGTAACTTCGTTAATAGTTGTCTAAAATGAACGATTTTTTATATAGTTTAATAGGGAATTTCATTACCTTTCAAAAAACAGCAAGGGCTATTTCGCATGGAGAATTTCGGTCACAGGCATCAGTAGTGAACCCTACAAAATAAAAAAAATAAGCAACAAAATCGGTTCAATAGTTTCCGAGAAAATCTTGGCACAGACAGACAGACCAATGGCTAAAAATGCGATTTTCGGACTCAGGGTGCTCTGAAACGTATAGATATCCGTCGAAAACCGCACATCGGAAATTTGATCCGATTGCAATACTTTCCTTACCTAATATAGGCAGGAAAGTAAAAAAGATAAGTTAACAAGTATATTTACAATTTGAAGAGGAACCCACAAACAGGTATATTTAACAGGAAATATTAACTTTTTATGAAATCTTACGTTAGTAAGCTCAACAATTTTAAAAGCCAATTTGATATGCCCGTGATGTATCACCTCAATTATATTAACCGGAGATACAGCTCACGCAATTTGGCTTTGTGTAACCGCCTGAATTCTCCGGTTAACTCATTCTTCTTCGGTCCGAATATTATACGCAACACTTTTTTTTCAAAAACCTTAAGACGTTGCTCACCCCTTTATTGTAAGCGGCCACGTTTCGCATACATAAAGAGCTGTAGGTAAGATACTGGTTTTGTAGATTCTAGTTTTTAAGTTCAGGGAGAAGAGGCACTAGATAAATAGTTTTGTCACAGAAACAAGCATTTATATATATATATATATATATATATATATATATAAAACTATCCCTTTGAACCAGTGCCCCGATATATTATATATATATATATATATATATATATATATATATATATATATATATATATATATATATATTATATATATATATATATATATAAAAGTACCCCTTTGAACCAGTGCCCCGAATAGTAATGTAGTGATGTGGGGACCATTTTTATCGTGAATGTAAGTATGTAATATCACAATGTCTGTGTAGTTATTGTTCAACATCGTTATTGAAAATAGTTCGGGAATTTAATCAAACTGAATTCTCATTGGCTCATTTCAAAGCAGACAGAAATTAATTTATTTTAGGCATGCTTTCTATAAAGTAAATTTATATGCTCTCTCCTCAAAGCCAAATACAATGAACCGGCAATACCAGGAAGCATAGCAAAATAGTTGTGTAACCTTTGAAGGCGCAACGAAATACACAAGTGATATTTATATGATTACTGAGTCGATATAACTTTATGTTATTAGCCTAAATTTAAGTAACTGTCGTTTTTTGTTATTTTAGTTTCTACTTTCAACGACCCATCGTTCTTTTTATTCATTTAAAGCACAATAAAATAGTAAATTTTATTTTTCAGAAGAAATTGTTTGCTTTTTAGCCTTTTCCCATAAAAAAACAACACTTATTTATTGTTATATCTATCCGAGCGGTGGAGGTGCGGAACACTCTTGATTCTTGGTTACATGATTATGACTATCCAATTAACTCTTGAATCAATTTTAACAGCCGAAATATGTTTTCGGTTGTTACTGAGAAATGGCTTAAGAAAATAAGAAATAATAAAAATGTTCTTTGGCATTATAAAGATATTATCCTTTAATACGCTGCTGCAAGTAAAATTACTATAATAAAACTCAAAATCACAAACTATTGACAATAATATTATTTTACTCTTCAAAATAAACTGCTGAAATCAATAATTATATTTTATCATCGTTTGTAAAACCTGTTAGTACGAAGATATGTTGGTTCGCTGACACTTCTTTGCATTATTCTATTTACTTTGATTTAAGCCATCGTTTCGGTGCGGGACTCACTGTTTCGTGGATTTAGCAAGATTGCACCATCTAATTGGAAAATTCACTTAACTGTAATGCATCGATAAACAAAGGGGAATCTAAAATTACATTTCAACTCTACAGATGCAGACAACTCTAATTTTAATAAGGAACCTAATTGAAGAATAAATCCGATGACATAAATATTATTCTTCATTATTTATAATTATTAATAAATTAATGTTTCTCATCATATTTATTTTTAAGTTGCACTCTTTATGAGTCTCCAATACTCAACTAAATAACATTTAATTAATTAAACTGATACTTCATACATATTTCTTCTTATTTTGTTTTTATCTCTATTAACAATTTTTTTGAAAGTGGAACAATATATATGGAACTAATCGGATCCTACACCACAATGACAGATTGTATGCTTACACTGAAAATATTTTAAAGTTTTTTTTTGTTTTCAGAAAAGATTTTTCCTTTTTTTCTGTGGGTAACTGATAATACTGATTTATTTGTTCTGGTAAATATGAAACTGCTTAAATGGGAGAGTTACGGACGTACAAACACCATTTTCAATGAAACGATTATATATCAATCGGTTTCTTTTTTGCAACAAAAAAAAAAAAAATGTATCTTGTAAAGTGTCTAAATTAACATTAACCAATAAAGCAGAACAAGTAAATTTTGTTTATGAAAAAGAAAGTTAGATTCATTTTTAGTGTACTTTAAAATCCTTGAATACAAAATTTTTATTGAAAACAAAAATATCAAATTTGTGTACATGATTTTCTTGGATGAATGTTTTTCTTCTGACTGTTAGCTAAATCATTCATAACTTCTCAACATTTTCTCCAAATTTTAAGTCCTCTGAAGTGCTACTGTAGGAAAAATGAACTGAAGCTCTCCCTGATTAACAGCAAGTTTTGGATTCCGTTTTAAGTTAGGAATTTGGATAAACTTGACAAACATTTTTATTTTATATCTTTGGTTATAATTCTTTAATGGAGATTGAGTTTGTTCCATTTCGTGTAGCTTACATATATATATATAGTAATGTTAGTGTGAATCGGTGGAGACATTATGATGTTATCACGATTTTTGCTGTTCACGACCAAATTTCGAAGGGTTCCCATCCACGCAATAATTACAGATAATTTTAAATTCTAGATGAAATATATATATTTTTTATAGTAAAGAACGGAGGATTGTTTTTTCCGACCGTTAACTAGAACATTCATAACATCTCAAGAATTTCCCTAAATTCAACGTTAGTGCAATCGTAGGAAAGATGAATCAATGATTTTCCAAACCACATCAATAAGTTTTGAATTTCGTTCCGTTTTAAATTAAAAGTTTAGAAAAATTTTCCAGACATTTTTACGTTATATCATTAGTTCTAATTTGTATTTGGTGCTTGAAATTTTATTATTCCATGTAGCATATAGATCTCACACACCTAATCATTTTCACGTGAATCGGTGGAAAAATGGTCAAGTTACCACGTTTTTCTTGGCTGTCGAAAAAATTCGTGCAGAAAACTTTAATTTTCAATCGCTACACAAATTCGTATTTATAGGTTTTCAGGTTCGAAAAACGAATGTAAACTTTACTTCTCGTCAACAAAATATTTAATCTAGATAACTAGGTTTTGTATGAGAACAAATTGGACCAAACGACATAGCAATTTGGTGGTAAATATTTTTTTTTAATGAATAAGTCAGTTTTTACCAATTTTATAGCGGAATCTCTCTGATTATTCACGTGATACAGTTAAAGTGTATATCAGAGCAGTTGATATTTACTGTTGGCATCTTTTTTTTTTGTTATTTTAAGGAAAAAAAAAAAAAAAAAAAAAAAATTTTTTTTTTTTTTTTTTTTTTTATTTATTTATTTATTTTTCTCTTATGATATGCGGTATGATCAGCAAGTGATGGCC